GCCTATGCAGGGGGTTGGACTCGATGATCTATTGAGGTCCCTTCTGACCCTAGCATCTACGAATCTATGACTCTGCACTGCTGTTATAGGGCCTGGCTGGGGCCATCCTCAATGCCCCAGCAGGGATGGAGCCTGGCAGTGTTGGATCAAAGGTAAGGAGAAAAGAGCAGAAGGGAGATGGGGTAGGGGGAGCAAGGGAGAAGACAGGAAAGGGCAGGGGTCCAAGGCTATAGGGGAGGTATAGTGGGGCACTGCCAGCAGCTTTGACTCTGGCCCTCACCCAGGCTTGGAACTGGATCCAGAGCCACAGCAGCTGCCTTCCCCTTGTCATTTTGTAATTGATTTCAAGATGAGGGGCTTCCCCATTATGTTAAATGAGGGAAAACCCTTGTCTTGGAATAAAGTAAATAGAAAAACCTGGTCTTGGAATCAAGTAAATATGGTGTTTGGTGTTCCTGATCAATGGTATTATGCTGATTTACACCAACTGAAGATGTACCCTAACAAGCATAATACAAAGGTCTAAAATCCATCATGCCAGACAGTCTTAAAAAACTTTGAATCATGGCTTTGTCCTTTGCCCTTCAGCTTTATTGACTTATTTTTGTTGACTTTTCAAATTGGTGGACTCCAACCCTGTAGTTTGAATTAGAGAAATCCATCAGAATCATCCTAACCTGTGCAGTGTTACAGCACCAGTAATGTTTATATCTCATGTTTAGAGTTAAACGTCTGTTATTTGAGAGCATTTTGTACTGGATGGCGTGCCACACATAGGAAGGAAAAATACATTTCAGGATCAGAGCAGAGATAAGGTTATCATGAGACCTGTGCAAGAAACAGGACACTTAGACACAGAGTCACTTTCAGAGACACTTTTTTCTATACACCTTTAGACCTATACAGGGACATTCTTTGTCCCTGTAGATATCTCTATAGGCCAGTATTTTAAAGGTATTTAGGCACCTACAGACACAGATAAGGCCTTACTTGGGTACTCAAACATGACTAGACAACCCAGGTGGAAGTTAGTCATTTAAGTAATTTTGGAAATAACAGCATGTGTTTATTTAGGCCAGTTTTTCAGGGTGAGGGTGTTACCAAATTTGCCCATTACTTTGGGGTGTGCTCATTTATTAGGGATAGTTTCTAGGGTCTTGGTGATTCTGTCAATGTGCTGCTTGTGTTACTATACGGAGCTGTATTTCTCCCTTCTGCAAGCCCTCACCCCCAGTGGAGCTATCTTGCAGGACTCAATCTCAATGGGGCTGGGTTCCTCCAGTCACCAAATCAGTCATACACACAAACACACACAAATTAACATGACATGCCTGACCTGGCCGGGCTGATCAGCATGGACAGGCTGACACCCTCATATGCCAAGAATCACTTCATAAGAGCAACAATAAAATGCAGTCAGACATAAGCACACAGGTAAACAGAATCCCTCTGAATCCGGCTGGGTGTCCAGCTGACACCCTCATGGGCCAGCATTCAGTTCATAAGGGCACGTCTGAGTCAAACTGGGTCACTCAGCCTGTACAAGCTGATCCCCTTATGTGTTTCAAACTCAGCACGTCCCAATCTTTGGCCTCTTGATGAGCAGACCCCACAATAATTTGGGCTTCACAGGGATCTTTAGCATAGGTAAAAGAAGCGTTGCTGCAGAGCACGGGAGGAAAGAGAAGCAGAGAAGGAAAAATATACACAACTACTACCAGTTTGACTATAAAAGTTATTTATTGCTAAGCATATGAAATATATAATAGTACTAGTAGTAATAGACATGCAAAAGAAAAACAAACACCAACAATGACAATACTACCCTGGTTTCACTAAGTATTTGGGGAAACTTAGCTCAAGCTTAACTGATACAGTTCAGGTTCAGAAGTTTATGCCTAGAAAGAAGACAGAGAACGCTGGGATCTCACCTAGTCCACGGTACTCAGGCTGCAAAGCTGACAGGCACAGTCCGTAGCACAATCCTTGAAGAGAGAGACGATCTGTGACAAGGGGTTATCTGGTTTGGACCATC